CCTGAGATTTCCACAGGGATGGTTTCATAAGCATGGAGGGCACAGGGTGGGCACAGGTCAGGGGTGTGGGAGAGGATGATAGAGCTGAAGGGTTGGGGGTGGCGGGATTGGTTTCTGCTACTGTGGTTAAAAGCACAGATTTCATTGGTACAGCTTAATACAGTCCAGTAAACACATCTTGTTTATGCACAGAGCTTGTCAGCAAAGCTGCTCTCACTGGATTTCAAGAATCAAGGCCAAATTGACGGCCATCTTCTCTTGACCTGAATCTGAGGAGATACAAACAACCCAACTGAAGAAAGAAAAATACACACATTCTACAGCAGATCATATTTCTTAGATTTGGGATTTTGAAGTCTCAGGTCTCCCACTCTTTTGGACCAATGAATTTTTGTTACTTTTCCATACCTTTTCCAGTTGTTCATGGTTATTACATATATATATATAAAAAAGAAAATCCTGACATTTAATGTTAACTACTATGAAATTATAATAACTACCATCATTTAAATACAATTATATTCACTTCAGACATTTCATTGATTTTTTTTTTTCAGGCCTGCATGGAAATTACATTTTTTTTAAATTCCTCGATATTTACAGTTTTTCCATATTCGTGAAAACCCTACAATCTAATACCCTTTCTGATCAATGAAACCTTAAATGAAAAAAAAAGAATAGAAAAACAAGAATGTATGAAATATAAAATGTGTTCCATCTCTATTTCAATTAGAAATGCTGTACTATTACTTCTAGAAAATAACCTCCCTCATGTGAAATGCAGTTGTCAGTGTTCACTTGAGAGTGGGGGTGGGCTAATATGGCCAGGGAAGGTGTTACAGCCTTGTGGACCACATTAAAGGGGTCGGACGTCACAGTCAAAATAACAGTAGGTGGTCACAGCTCAGCGACTCACACATGCATCCGTAGGCAGAGCCGGTGTCAGCTCTTTAGCTTTGGTTGTCGATAAAGAATGACAGCAAGAAGGACAGAAGAATACTGATACATGTTTACTGGCCGTGATGACTATGCATTTATGTCGTTTATGTTAACCATTGCTGCCATACAAAACGGCTTAATCCAAGGATAAAAAAATGGTCCGGCCTAAGGAGAATCCGGAATGTCATGTCGAAATATGAAATTAATTAACCCTGAAATATTACTGAGATGTAAAAATCCATTACATTTGATCGGATTTGGTCCACATCCATGTTGAAAAAGGATTTGTGATGATGACCAGGGAAAAATTGTTCCACATTTTAAAATGAAACACATTGAGATTCCTTTTATGCTTGTATAAGGCAGCCGAGATTTGGCCTGAAAACAGCCAAAAGTGACATTTTAATTACCAGCCTGGTGAGGTGCAGCTTAGTGTGTGTGAGAGAGAGAGAGAGAGAGAGAGAGAGAGAGAGAGAGAGAGAGAGAGAGAGAGAGAGAGAGAGAGAGAGAGAGAGAGAGAGAGAGAGAGAGAGAGAGAGGGGACACACTAAGACCTGCTTTCGAGGGTTAAGACACAGCTTATGCCCTTGGCTGCGTGGGGACTTAACACCAGACGCTCCTGAAGAGCATTTGCCTCATCTATCAGAACAAGACGGCAGCGGTTAGGAGAGGATGACGGGGGAGGGAGAGAGTGATGGAGGACAAGAGGAATATGGATAGACATAGACGGTCCTCAGATCTATGTCACACTGCCCCCAGTGGACTTGAGCACGACAGGGGAAGAGGAAAGCTGAATAATGTGTAATGAGACACTCTATAACGTTGAGTCTTGCAACACAGTATTGGATGGGAGAGACGAGCGTATATTAAAAGACCTTTTTTATGATGTTTTGCTGAAATGCCATTAAAAAAAACACTGATTTCCCTTGTGACACAGGCAGTGACAGAATACAGTTATTGAGAAAAGCATCGGATGGAATAAAAGTGGACAGATGTAAGAGAATTCCATTGTGTGTGTGTGTGTGTGTGTGTGTGTATACTCTGTGTGTATATATATATATACGTATATATATATATATATATATATATACACATATACTTGTTTTAAATAAATCTGTCTAGAATTAAGTTTAGTTACTTTTATTAACCCATTGGAAACTAGTTGTTTTTTAAACATAAATCTAATAACATTTCTGGAGGGTTATGATTAAAACGATGCAAATTTGGTGAGATGAACTTGATCAAAATGTTTTGAGAATACTTTTAATTAAGTAATTTATCTTCTAGAAATATTTACTTATATTTAATGTAAAATAATGGAGATGAAAAGTGAATTTTCACAGAAATTACACGAAGAAACCCAGATTTCCCTTGTGACAAGGGCAGTGGAAACAGATATTGATAATTTTCATCCGAGGAATGGATGGAACAAAAAGGGGCAGATGCAAGAAATTCTATATTTTTTGTCTTGTTTTCCAGTTAAATAATCCAAAAACCCTTTGAACTATTTTAATTGATGGATATAGCATTGTTTCACAAGATAACAAGTCATGGTTTCAGAAAATACATCTTGAATTAAGTATAGATACTTTTCTTAACCCACTGGCAATTTTCTTTTTCTTGTTTTAAGCATAAATCTAATAACATATTTATGAGGTTTATGATTAAAACAAGAAATGAATGCCAGTGGGGAAGATAAATAAACCCAATTCAAGATAGATTATCTCAAAAACAAGTCTTATCATCTCAAGAAATTTTGATTTTCAAACAATTTCATTTTGTTCTAAGGATTTTTGCATTTTTTTAATGAGAAATGAGACAAAAATACTGATTAAGAAAATGACTTTTCGGTGATGAAACGTGCTTTTCCACAAAAAAATTCCATGAAAAACCCTGATTTCCCTTCTGACACGGCCATTGAAGGGAAACAGATATCGCGAGAAGCAACATTTTCATCCGAGGGACGTATTAGAAAAGAGAAATGGAACAAAGGTGGACAGATAGAGACGCTAGAAAAAGTGCTGCCTCTCAGAAAATGAACAAACTATGACTAAGAGACGGAGAGAGAGAAGCTCTTGGACAGAAGGTTTGCCTGTGGTGCGACAGCTTTCTGTGCTGCACAAGGGTGAGCTTCAGCCCGACTGTGTGCCATCAGTTAGGGCTTGTCACCTGGTGTGTGTGTGTGTGTGAGGGAGGGAAAGTGCCCTACATATACCCTCAACTCTTGACAAAAACTCAATACAGACTTTCTAAGCTCCAAGCGCAGCTATTGGACTTGTTTGTCAACCTCTCACACACACATACATTTCTCCTCATCTTTCTTTTTCTCCCCTAAATAAAAGACTTGTTATTCTCCAGGACTTTTTCTAATATATTTATTTCTGCTGACACTGGTTAGCTCCATAAACAGCAATAATGTGTAGAACACAATCTAGCTTTGGGGAACCTGCCATCCCCTGGGGCAGAGCCGGGCGACAAGAACGCCTGTTGTTATCTCGTGTTTACCTGCCTGTTTTGCTTTTATTTTTTACAACCCCAATACCTAGCTCAGCTCAACTGCACAGCAAAGCAAAACAAGCCGACTTTGCCTGGTGCGTGATGCTTTCTGTGCTGAGAGTTAGAAGGGAAGGAGATCAGACTAGACTGTCTGACTGCATTTCTATTGGCGGCAACTGTGTATTGTTAGCATGGTGCATTATTTTTAATGATGATTTCAAACGGTAATGAGCTTGTTCTTCATAAACTCATTAAGAAAAAATCAATTCATCATGATAATTTAACATGTTTGATGCATGGACAGTTTGCCAACTTTCTGACAAGAATAGCATGTAGGATATTCAGTGTTTTCATGAAATATGTCAGATGATGAACGCTAGTGTTCCCCCATCTTCTTAAACCATCCACAATAAAAATAAAAAAAAAGCCTATTCGCTGGACACATAGCTAACACTGCTATAAAACTAGATCATAAAGCTGACAGCCTCCCGAGGCATGATCTACTAAACAAGAAACGGAGCGCCCCATACTTCACTCCCACTGTCATCCTCAAAGCAGTTCCACACTCTCTCCCTGTTTTCATGTGTGAGGTTATATATTTACACTGTGGGTTACGTGAACATGCTGCTCTTGCCATCAGATCCTGAGTGAGGGGTACAGTATTTGCAACAATTTAATGAGAGTCGGAGTGAGGAAACAAGTTGAGTGATAAGCAGGTCATTAAGTTTGCTCTGCCAACTCGGCTCGGCTTTGATTTGCGTACGCTGTGTGATAACCGTGAAGGGGAAAAAAGAGACTTTGAGGGAGACAGCTTAGGAGATGCAGCAAAAATTCCCTCGTTGTACTCAAAAATAACCGAAACTCTGTAGCCTAAGATGATTCCCTTAAAGTCCGAGGACTTTGTGTTTTGTAAACCCACACAAACTCTTTGTGATGCAGCCAGTGCTGGTAGTTTCCAGCACAAGGGGCTTCAAAAAAAGTCCCGGGGCTTTCGGATTTATTTGAACTTCCTTTTCTGGGTCACCGGTCGCTGCAGAGGAAGACAATCAACTCAATCTATCTAGCGCTGGCGAGTCACTGCCTCCCCTTTCAGCTGCTCGCGGAGGAAGCGTACGAGAGAGCCGGCAAACGCTCTTAGGGGTCTCCGCGGCAGTCTCCAATTCAATCCAATTGATTTTCAAAGACAACCACCTGGCGGCAAGCAGCGGAAACATCCGTCAGCCGATGCTAAGCCCGACTGTTTACAGACTCAGAGACCGTCTAAGGATAATCACACGAGTGACAAGTGTGATGTGTTTGCTCGCCGGTGCGCGAGTTGAACATCCTTTGACGTGCCTTCGGTCAATAGCCTGACCTCACAAGCAACCAAGACCTGGGTGTTCAATGAAACTTGAATGACAGACAAACAAGATGCCATGCAACTACTTCAAACTGTTAGACACAAACTCTGGGTTTCACAGCCGAAACCTCAGAGTTCAAGACTCCAGTTCAACTCCCAGAGATTCCCATCTCGCACACTGACACAGGACACAACACAGCGGAGACGAGGAGACCAGGCAGCTTACCGTGACCCGTCAGCCACAAGATCAGAAACACCTCCGGGATCATCTCGGCACTTCGCAGGGGTGGTGACCTCTTGGGAACCGAGTGGAAGTCAGGCTGGGAAAGTTCGCACGCACACACACCGGCGTACCACTCTTCTGGCTGGCTGCTATTGTCAGTCCCCCGATGTGCTCTCTTAATGAAGAAAGGCTCTCTGTCAATCTCTTTCTTCTTGTGTTCCCTTGTTCGCTCTCTTTCTCAGTGTGCTGTGATAACAATCTGCTGTGTTGTCCTACGGTAACTGAAGTGACTCTGTTCTGATGATGCGTGTGCAGGCGCTCTCATAAACTCAGAGTACTCATGCTCTCTCACACACACACACACACACACTGCTCTTCCATTCTCCGGCTCACAGAGTCAGTCTGCCTCTCTCTCTCTTTCTCACTCCTCCCTCCTCCTCCCTCGCTCTCTCTCTCAGTGGAGGAGGGGGCCGGCTGCACACAAAGCCCGCCCACCTGATCAAGCGGAGCAGCGCTGTTCCAACAAGAGGCTGGGAATCAGAGCTAACCTTTGGGAACTGGGAAAGAAAGAAAGAAAGAAAGAAAGAAAGAAAGAAAGAAAGAAAGAAAGAAAGAAAGAAAGAAAGAAAGAAAGAAAGAAAGAAAATCCTAAGTGAAAAGGGACCATCCACATGTCTAATAAATCAAATGAGCTGTGATTGGTTGCTTTGCATGTCTAAGTGTCTGGTGCTGGCCAGAATAAAAGATTTGAGGTTGAACCAGACTTGCAGAGTCACGAGTCTAAAAGAACACAGAGATGGAACCTTATTAGCTCCTCTTTTCTAAATGAGTAAAACAGAATTCAGACTCATCATTTATTGCCCACTAATGTAGACGTTGTTAATCTCACTAATGCATTACTTGCTAACAAGACTGTTTTACACACTAAATATTGCATGATGCATTTCCCTTCTACTTCCTCTCTTCTCTTCTATAGAAAATATGGCCTGATGCATTTATTCAGTAAAACAACAGGAAAAGAACAAAATGGTCAATGAATAGCCTAGTTTGTGTGAATTATTTAGAGGTAATAATCTTAGTTTATGGCAGCCAGATTGAAACTAAGTGTGTGTGTGTGTGTGTGTGTGTGTGTGTGTGTGTGTGTGTGTGTGTGTGTGTGTGTGTGTGTGTGTGTGTGTGTGTGTGTGTGTGTTTAGCCAATTATAAAAGTGGTTATATGTTCTATCTTTTAAACAAACTTGTTTTACAACTATATAAAAAAATATATATTTCTTTTTGATACACTCATGAAATATGCAAGGCGATGACAACCTGGCAGTTAAGTAAAAGATGTGCTGTTTGAGTCAAGTTGAAAGTTTATTTGTAAGCTTTACTGAAGTTTTTAGTCTTAAGATCGTGTTAGCTTTAACAATCAATTATTTTATTTGAGCAGGTCTTAAACCAGAACATGCCCATGGATTGCTCCATCTGACTGAAGCACAAAAGCCGATGATCAATATATCATGAGGATTCTTTATCACCTGATTTCTTGTTGATAAATCCTCTATTTTGAAGTCTTTCAGTGGCATTTTAGGATAACTAAACTAAAACAAGTAGAACGGTTCCCTGTGTCTAACCTGTTAAGCTGAAAACCGGGATAGCGTGTGCACATGGAGCATGCGTTCTCATACATATATTAAACCACTTGTTTTACAAGCTACAGTATACAAATACATATGTATTAGGGGTGTAACACTACACAAATATGACGGTTCGGTACGTACCTCGGTACTGAAGTCACGTTCGGTACAACAGGGTGGATAAAACAAAAAATATTTTTTTTTAACAAATGTTTATTTGTTTAAATACATTATATTATAATTAAAATTTTCTTAATGATAAAAAAAAAAATCTACAGTATCTTAGCTAATGATGTAAACTTTTTGGGGAGCCCTTGATTACACATTCCTTTACTATTAAAGGTTACAATTAACAACAGAGCCCAACTTATTAAAGGGGTGGTTAAGTATGATTTCACTTTTCTAACTTTAGTTAGTGTGTGATGTTGCTGTTTGGGCATAAAGAACATCTGCAAAGTTACAACGCTCAAAGTTCAAAGCAAAGGAAGATATTTGCTTTTAAAGAAAAGGACTACAACAAACGGCTGGTAGAACTACACGACATTCCTCCCGGGTTAGTGACATCACCAGCCCTAAAATGTACATAAACCCCACCCCCGGGAACAAAGACCATGTTGAGAAGAGGAAAAGTTGTTGTATAAGAGTACATTTGTGAGTCAGCTCAAACTTTAGCGTCCATCTTTTCACATGCAATAGAAAGTCACTCTGTGTGCATCTCACAACAGTTCCTTTACCAGTGATTTATAGATTACCATGACAGAATATCCTAATTGAAGATAGTTAACTCCACATCATCAACATAAATTCATCAACTAACCATTCAGAGACATCCTGTTGCATTATACGTGTTGTCACTTCTTCTTGAGTCTCTCCATCTTTGTCTGACTCCGTTTAAACATTAAAGGCAGAACAGTTTCTGCCATTTTAGTGTGTGTCTGCGTTAGGTAATCGCAGCTACTATTACACACGCAAGCTCTTGAAACCCCGCCCTCTGCAGCAGCTCATTTGCATTTAAAGGGCCAGGCACAAAACGGTGCGTTTTTGCAAACCCTCAAAAATTGACAACTTTAACAAGCTATATACAAATATATGTGGGATATTTTGTGCTAAACCTTCACACACACTCTCTGGGGACATCAGAGATTTGTTTTACATCTTGTGAAAATGGCATTTTACCACCCCTTTACATTTAGTTGTTTTATTCTTAGATATAACACTCCAATAAAAAACAAAAACAAAAAAAAAAACATGTACTGTAAATTTCACGTAATGCAGGGTTTGTATTAACTTCAAAATCTAATTATAAAGGTAATTTTCTACTCCAATTAATTTTTTGCAATAATTTACACAGTTTGTGCACAACTGTGCACTGACTTATTTTCTTGACAAATTTATTTGAACAGACATTAAATAATCAAGACATTACTAACAGGTTAAGTAAATATAATGAATAGGCTAATATAGTGCACATACGAAATGCTTCTCTCTGCAGTGCATTTCTGAACTAACCTGCTGTCAACACTACATGCAAATGAGGTAAATGTAAGGCGTGATATATTATTCTCAAGCTGTTTTATTGATATCTTTCTGCAGTTGAAACACTGTTTGAGAGATGTAAACATATTGAGTGTGCCCCCTTGTGGATAGGAGTGTTGAATCTGTGACCATCTGTGACTTATTGATCGTGCGACTGCATGCACCGAACAGTGACGCCCGTATACGAATACATACCAGTACACCCCTAATATGTATTTATCCAGCAAGGCTGTGTGGGCTGAAGGTCAATGCTGATGCATCCTCTCTTGACCTCGGCCATTGATTCAATCTAACAGTACACTATATAATGGCATGGAGAAGCAAGCTTTTGTAAATTACTATATGGATAGAAAGTGTAACATGGACATCGTTTAAACTGATATTTACATCTGCCTCGGGTGATGTTATTACAAGGGGACACTACTAAATAGAGATTTTATCCAATCACTCAAACCACACTCAAGGGTAGTCGGAAATGCACACTGTAAAAAGTAATAAGTTGACTTTACTAAGAAAAGCTGTGGAAACTGATTGCCTCAAATTTTTCAAGCAAATTAGGTCATAAGTTTTGACTTGATACTACTGTCTACTTCTTTGTAGAGTTAACTTGTGTATTTGTAGAGGTTACCATAAAACTTGAGTACAGGTAACTTAATAAACTCAAGTTTAGGCAACTTACAGATTTAAGTTGAGATTTGTAAGCAGAACTTAAACAAAACAGTTAATTTAACATGTCTGCTTGTTCATTTTACTAGAGGAATGTGTGGAAACTGATTGCCTTAAATTTCTCAAGCAAGTTGTACTCAAAATTCTAAGTTGAAAATACAAAGACAGACAACACATTTGGCAAAACACTAGAATGTTTATTTGTTCAACAATAATAATGTTAAAACATTACTGGCCCGCCAACAACATTTTAGAAATAAAGCACAATGCACTCAAGAAAAAACAAAAAAACTAAAGACAATAAAGACATCAATGTTTCTTTGTTTTTAACATCTTTACAATGTTTCAACAGTGGTTGAAAGCAGAGCGTTTAAGTCACAGAGTTTGGTACAGAATGCCTTTCCTACTACAGTTCTCTTTAAAATTCTCTTCTTATAAAACTCTATTCTAAAACCAAACAAGTAAACTTGAAATTCAAAACATCCTGTTAAATATGGATATTTTTATATTTTTTCATTTTCAACAATTGGAAAACACTGACGTATCTGTAAAACAGTACTGAACAATTTTCTTTAGAGTTCTCTTAAAGGAACACTCCACCGTTTTTTCATATTAAACTATGTTATTCCCTTAACTAAGACGAATTGATACATAGGCCTACCTCTCTCGTCTCAGTGCGTGCACTCAATCGCTCTGGCGCGTCGCGACACTTTGATAGCACTTAGCTTAGCCCAGTTCATTCATTAGGACTCAAACAGAGAAGCGACCAAACACCTCCACGTTTTCCCTATTTAAATACAGTTACACGAGTAGTTACACGACCGAGAATGGTGTAAGATGATTACACCAGTGTAAAATGGATAACTATAATGTATGGCTGAATAGCACTTGAGAGCACTTCGACTCGGTGCAGTAATATCATCACTCCTAAAAAATCCTCTCATCATCAGGAGTGATGATATTACTGCGCCAAGTCGAAGTGCTCTCAAGTGCTATTCCGCCATACATTATAGTTATCCATTTTACACGCTTAGAAAAGCGCCACGTTTTATTTTGTGTCACCATACTTGGTCGAGTTACACTACTCGTGTAACTGTATTTAAATAGGGAAAACGTGGAGGTGTTTGGTCGCTTTTCTGTTTGGATCCTAATGAATTAACTGGGCTAAGCTAAGTGCTAACAAAGTGTCTAGCGCGCCAGAGCGATTGAGTGCACACACTGAGACGAGAGAGGTATGTATCAACTCGTCTTAGTTAAGGGAATAACATAGTTTAATATGATAAAAAAAGGTGGAGTGTTCCT